ACAAGGGGCAATGGGCACAAACTGAAGCACAGGAAGTTCCGTCTGAACATGAGGAAGAACTTCTTCCCTCTGAGGGTGACGGAGCACTGGCACAGGCTGCCCAGAGGTGCTGTGGATTCTCTTTCTCTGGAGATATTCCAGACCCACCTGGACAAGGTCCTGTGCAGCCTGCTCTAGGCGACCCTGCTTCGGCAGGGGTGTTGGACTAGATGACCCACAGAGGTCCCTTCCAACCCCACCATTATGTGATTCTGTGAAAGAGTGCAAGTGGCAACTACTGCAGCCTAAACACATTCCATTTCCAGAGAAACGTACCACAGGTTTCCACACGTACTAACTGCAGCTCAATGCTTCTGACTGCAGCCTCTGCGTTCTCTACTACCAGCTCCCCTGTTAGTGGCTGTGTAATGATGCAGTTGGTGGAACCGAGATGACCTCTGATGAGAAATCTGGGAAGCGAAGCTCTCTGAAAAGATTGGGAAAAAGATAAAGAAGACATTACTGTAAGAGCAGACTAACAAAAAAATACCTTACAGAAAGACAGTTATCAAAGCGTATAGGAAATCCCCAAAAGTTGTGAAGTTAAGAACTCAGAAGTTCAGAAACGCCTTACGTAACTTAAATAACTCTTTAAATATGTATCCTTATGCAGATGCATTAAGATATCTCTTACTACCCTCCCCCCCGACATGGACCCCCCTGCTCATTCCATCCACAGGAGCATTCTTCCTGAGATGAACTGGCAAGCCTTGGCTGCTGCGCTTCATCCAGCAGTCGGGAACCGCGCGGTGAGGGAGGCAGGCTGGCAGGAGCTAACAGGATGGTCAAGTTCAAGCAGCTGGCAGTGCTCTGCAGAGCTGCATTCCGGTCCCGCTTCCTTACGGATTACAACATCATCTGTCACTGCAGGGATTTTCCCACCTTTTAAAATTTCTCTCTCGTGGCACTATCGGGAGGGAAGGCGGGCATTTTAAAAATCTTCGTTCGGTGCAAGATGCAGTATATTGCTCATGTACCAAGACACCAATTAAGGACAATTAATACAGAGCTTGATTTGAACACAGGCTCACGCTTCTAGAATTTTCTTAACAGCAAGCACGTTTCCTACATTTTAAGGAAGGAGCAGTAAGAACAGCTGATCGAGGATGACAGCCTATAGACCACGTTCCATAGGAGACCAAAGCGGGGGTTTGGTCCCGCTGCCACTCCCCTTTTTTGGGCCAGCAGGCATCACAGGTACTCTCTGCCAGCAGAGAGGCTCCTGTGCCAGAGGCTCCCGTTACATCTCCATTTCTGGCAGGAGGCATACTGAAACAGTCACGTTTTCTACCCGCATCTTCAGCTCGTATCTTCACCATCCAAATTTCTTCAAACGCTTTGAGCACCCTGCTCTAACCTTCCCATTCTCTTGCAAGCTTTACTCTTCTCTCCCTCCTTAATTTTTTGTTATTGACATCTTTGATGTTAGCCCCTACCTTCCAGCCATCTGTTCACACTTGCTTGTGGCGTCAGATTTCCTTGCCCATGTAACTCATCCTCCCTTCTTCCAAACCAACTCTCTTGTCACAAACTTTTCTCCTCCCAATGTTTCGTTTCTTAGTCCTGGTTGCCAGCAGCAATGGCAGAAAAGTTCTCCTCAGCTACTGTTTAGACTGTTTCACTCAGACACCCAACACCTCTGCAGAATTTAGCTTTTCCACTCAAAGCAAATCTTTGGGGGAAATAAAAAGAGAGGATTTTTATGTGTTTAGTAAATGTGACCTCACTTGGGTATTCTCTCCTGACTTAAATAGCACAAGTTACACCCCTGACAAAGCCACCCTATGGAATACTGAGTCCTAATAATGTATTAGTAAAATGCTTTTTTGTTGCATGACCCCTCGCAGGTTCTTCTCATCTCCACTATTAGTAAACACAGAGTTGCTTCTCTGCTTCCCAGGGCCATCACATAGGTATCCCCTGAAGTATCATGGTCAGGAACCTGAGAGACAGAGCTAAAAGGAACTTGCGGAACAAGAACTCGAGGCCGTTTGCCTCAATCTTGGTCGACGAGACTTGTTTTTTTAAAGGTATATTTCCCCTGACTACTCGTGTCGGTACTCTTCATAGTTTAATCCTAGCTAGGTCTTCTCTCATAGCACTTATCATTTACACTCTATTTCATAAGCCCCCAAAAATGAGAATCAAGAACATACAAGCAAGTCTATCCTGGTTTTTCATCTAACCTCTTTGTGTTTTGCTTGGCTACTGCAAACCTCCTAATCCGTCTTCTAGTAGTCTACCAGAAATTATAGTTCAGTCACAATCTCCAGACAAGCAGAGAATTGAACTTTTAATATTGTTAGCATACAAAATAGTGACTTTTTCTATCTGTACACCAGGTAGTCACTTCAGATCCATACATTTTGTATTATATACCTGAAATAGAGACAGGCACAGGGTCTGCTATTGAACTTCAGAAGGAGCTTGTAATGGACAGGACTTTCTCATGATTTATACCACTAAGTCTTTGCTAAGCCAATGAGTAGAGTATCAAGATACAGAAGAGAAAGAATAAACAAAATAATTTCTGTGGAAACATGGTTCACAAGAACAACAGACTGCTGAAAGCTTAGTGTTTAGCAGTAGTCTCAACAGTAATTTTACCACCAAGAATAGTTACTACATCCTTCTGTTTGGAAAAACATATGCTTTCGGTGTGCAGCAGTCTCTAGAGACATGAGAGGCTGCTGGACACAACCTGCTCAACCTCCATGAAAAACCAGCAAATTCCACAGCACAGGATTGCTCACTTTGCAAAAAGAGGTTTCCGAATTATCGAAAATCACAATACAAAACAGAATGGCATTAGATACAGTATTAACTTCCCAAGGAGGAATCTGCACCATTTTAAATGTAAGTTGTTGTATGTACACTGATCATAGTGGAGAGTTAATTTATGATGTGCAGAAAATTTGGGAAGTTAGCAAAGAGATGCAACAAGTGCAGAAGGACGACACCGTGTGGGGATTCACTGATACTGTCTCTTGGCTAACCTCTTGGTTCCCGAACCCAGCCACTTGGTTAAAGAAAGCTTTAGTGGCCTTATTCGTTGTTGTAATTACGGCTGTTTGCCTGTTTGTGATTTTTCAATGTATAGCGACTTGGTTTATGTCAATTGCTAAGAAGTGTCAAAAAGAAGTTTGGGAATATAGTAATTAGTAATTGCAGGGATGCAATAAAAACAAAAGGAGGGAATGTGAGAGATTGATTATAGAGAAGATTGATTATGACTATAGATTACAATAAAACCATAGAACTAGAACACAGACTCAATTGTGTGAATACAGGTGTGTTAAGAAACCATACGATCATGGAATGCTGCTCTCAATTGTCCCCTGTGCAGCCCTTACCATGGTTGGGTTAGAAACCATTTCCTAAGATGGATGAATTTCGTGATCTCGAAACGGACCAACAGACAATAAGGTCAACCTGAGAATGAGATTGGCCACGGATGGAAAACCAAGAACTTTCTGTAAGCTAAGAAGATAAGAAGAATTGAGAAACTGATGGGAATTTCTAGGTGGACTTTGGCAGTTGTGTAAGCATAATTGATGGCTATATAATGTGTGATGATTTTGTTTGAGTTGCCACTCACTGAGGTGATGGCCCAACTCTGAGTCATGAATAAAGCAATACCCACTCGTGTGAGAGTAAAATCTTTAACATCTAACTCAGCTGGATTTAGAGTTCAGCCAATGACAGCTGGTTGGTTTTTGAGAATCAACTCCTCCACGCTCAACAATGGTCTATTTCAACATGAAGAAAGTCAAGCAAAGGAAGGAAGAGACCTGCGTGGATGAACAACATGCTACTGATAAAAACATAAAAAGGAAGCATACAAAAGATGGAATTATGGTCAGGTGACCAGGAGGAGCACAAAATTACTATCCGAGTGTGCAGGGATGGTTTTGGGAGAGCTGAAGCCCACCTAGAATTAAATCAAGAGACATGAAGGGCAACAAAAAGGGGCACCTACAAGCCTACCAGCTGCAAAAGGAATAGGAGGGTAAATGTCGGCCTGCTACTGAATATGGCAGAGGACGTAGTGACAAAAGACAGGGCAAAGACAGACGTACTTAATGTCTTCTCTGCCTCAGACTGAGTAAAGGTAAGATTTGCCTTCAGGGATGCCAGGCCCCTGCAACCACAGGGAAAGTCTGGAGCAAAGAAAAGTTATCCTTGGTAGAGGAGGAGCAGGTTAGGGAACACTTAAAGACCAGATGTACACACGTCCATGGGACCTGATGGGATGTACCCACAAATGCTGAGGAAGCTGACCCATGTCACCGTGAGGCAAATCTTGATTATCTTTGAAAGGATGTCATGAACAAAGAAGGTTCCTGAGGAATGGAAGATAGTAAATGTCACTCATCTTCGGTTAGGAAAATCCAAGGAACTACAGGCTCATCAGCTTCAATCCCTGGGAAAGCGATGGACCAAATAAGGCCAAACATATAAAGGAAAGTGAAATGAAGCAGTCAGCATGGATTTATGAAAACAAAATCATGCTCAACCAACCCGACAGCCTTCTGCACTGAAATGACTAGCTCCGTGGACATGTGGAGAGCAGTGGATACTGTTTATGTTAGGTTCAGTGCTGGTTTTGATACTGTTACTCCTAGCAAGCTCACTGACAAACTGATGGAGTGCAGACTAGCTGTACAGGTTCCACACTGAGGTGCCCGAGAACAGCCTGAACTGCTGGACTCCAAGGTTTCTGACCAGTAGCACGAAGTCCAACTGAAGGCCAGTCACTAGTGGTGTACACCAGTGACTGGGGTCAATACTGAAGCCAATATTACTTCACATCTTCAGTGATGGCTTGGATGATGGGACAGAGCATACCCTCAGCAAGTCTGCAGATAATACAAAATTGAAAGGAGTGGTTGGTAAACGAGATAGTTGTGCCGCCCTTCACAGGGACCTCAACAGACTGGACAAATGGGCCTGCAGCATCCTGAGCTGCATTAGAGAGTGTTGCCAACAGGCTGAGGGAGACCATTCTCCCCATCTCTTCAGCACTGGCGAGACAAAACTGGGGACAGCGTGTCCAGTTCAGGACTTCCTGGTACAAGAAGCAGACATACTGGAGCAAGTCTAGCCTTTGCTGGATTTGGCCATGAAGACAGTTAAGAGCACGTGACATACAAGAAGAGGCCGAGAGCTGGGACTGTTCACCCTGCAGAACAGCAGGCTCAGGGGAATCTTATCAATATGTATAAATACCTGATGGGAAGGAGTAAAGAAAATGGTGTCAGACTCCTCTCCATGATATCGAGTGAAAGGACAAGAGGTTATGGGAACAAATAGAAATTAAAGGAAATTACTTTTAATTTCTTACTTTATTTATAAATTCTGTGAGGGTAGTGAAACACTGTAACATAGACGAGCAGTTGCAAGTCTCCATCCTTTGAGATATTGAAAACTTGACTACACATGGCCCTGAGCAACCTGCTCCAGATGATTCTGCTCTGAGCACCGGGGCTGGACTAACCAATCTCTAGAAGTCCCTTCCAATCACAATGATTCTATGAATATGTAGAATAAAGTAAAAAACAGCATGAAACAACCAAACAGCTCATTAAGACGCCTGTTTTGAGAAACAAGTAGAAGAGTAGGTCTAAATTCAGAAATCTAGGACTAAAAGCAATGGAAGACAAATTTGAGATGCAGAAGGCAGACCTGAAGTAGGAAAGCAGTCCTACTAACAAAAAGAGCAGAACAGGAAAATCTGGAAAAACAGAACACGGGTTTCAGTGGACAAATAGAAACCAGTGTTCAGAAAGCTAAATGACCAAGACAGCTACTATTGTTCATACAGGCTTCCCAAAGCTACATCAGGCTGTAAAAAAGGGCATAACCAAGGATCAAAATACATATTTTTCAAGGAACTTGGCTACACATCATATAGAATGTTTTCCCTTGCTTCACTGCCACCTTTCACTCAGAAACTTGGTAAGAATGTTTAAACACGACTGAACAAAGTTCCACCTTACATTAGTCACCACTATCACAAGAGATGAGGCAGAATGACTTCACTGCTCACAGAAGTAAATAAGGAGAAAAGGTGAGGGGGGAGTGCTGATTATCTGCAGGGCAGCATTTAATCATTCTTCTCTTGCTCTCACTCAGAATCACACAAGAATTACATTTAAAATAAAATACAAAGAAACCCCTTACCTCTTTCACATTTTGCAAAGTTTCAGGAGTAATTGTGAAGTCTACTGGGCTTGGCATCAGTTTCCCTTTCTGTGACTACAAGTAATTAAAGAGTTAAACTGTAAACTATGATTTATAAAACACACACAGAGAATATTAAAAAAAACAAAGTCAAGCAACTGTTGCATGTGTTAGTTTTCAGAATTGTCTTCACACTGAAAGTATGTAATAAATGTATGTAATAAATCCATGTAATAAAAAGCCTGTGTTTTCCTGCCTTTGTGATTAAACAACATTATGATATTGTCTAAATACAAGTCACAATGCATTACAAATCTGAATTGTAGGAACAGAACTGTGTCAGTTTTTGGTTACTTTGTGTTTGCCATTGCAATAAACCACAACCACCTCTCCATCTGTAAGTATTTGGCATAAGCTCTACCTGCATTGAAGAAAAAAAAAAAAAAGGAGGAAAACAAAAACAGAACATGTGGTTGACTAAACCGCCTGCAAAAGAAGAAATACACTACCTATCTGAAGCATATGGTAAGTTATAGAAAAAAGTTAAATTTCACATTTCTGTATTTACAAATAATTACATTTTGTATCTCACTTGCACTGTTTCCTTTCATTACTAATACTTAGTAAACTCGGGCAGGGGAGAGAGGGGGAGCTTATAAATGAACTTGCTCCATTGCTTCAAATATGTTTTATAAACTCTCCCTCCCACTTGTTACCTCTGAGCACTCTGAACTCTTTCTGCTGCACTTTCAGCAACAGCTCAGGTCTCCTAAGCCACCCTCACATTCCTAGGAGATCCTCAGCTGATGGAATCTAGTGTAGCATTGATTTAATGGGCTTAGCATTCCAGCTTCTTTAACTGTAAAATAAACAAAACTTGGTCCAGGTTAGCTTTCCACATGGGAGAAGCCATTCTGGGGGCACATTATCACAGTTCCTCGGTATCCATTTACACCATTTATCACAAGACGAAAAAGTTAAGTCTTTCCTTAAGTGGCTGAATTGGCCCTGAGCTCTGCTGAGATGGAAAGCAAGCTTCGCTCACCATTCACGGACCTCTCTCTCCATCCTTCTCTCAGTGAGGCGCACCATCTTTTCCCTATGTATTTCGAACAAGCGGCCAGCGCAGCGCCAATTAGGAGAGGCCCAGCTGTATGTAACTGGGAGTTGGCAGAGCACACCGCCACCAGTGCGCTTAACTTGAACTCTTTGTTAGGATCTACCCTCACCACTTCAGAATTCAAAATAGCTTCTGCTGCCCAGCTGCAAGATGGAAGATATTAGCAAAAGATTGACTGTATTTTCCCATAAAAGACAAATTCTGGCAAAGAATAAGGTTAAGGGAAATGGTACATTGAGCACTGACAGTGAGAATTATACATTCAGTAAAACCTCATTAATTCACCCTGACTGAGAGATTCATGATTTACTGACCTGTGATCTAAGAAGTGCTGTAGTGGGAACAAAAAATAAGACCAGGAAATTGCATAATATGTAATTTGTTCATTATTTTGACAAGTGTGGCTTACTTATAATGTAATAATGGACCAATAAAATATAGCATAATATATTTTAGAAAATAATGAAATCTTACCAACAGGAAACTTCTTGATAGAACATAGCTAAATCTTTAAAAAAGGTACTACAGAACTAAAATAACGTATTTCCACTATTATGAATAAGACAAAAGAGTCTAATACTTTACTGTCCTGTTAAGAGTTCAAAAGAATGTACAAACAATATGTTCTAGCAAGTTGTGGGTGGAAAAAGAAGTACTTAATTAGGCCTGCACAGTCTACACTGACATCAGATGCTCCGAACATGCGTACAAGTCAATATAAACTAAAAACCAATCTGATATAGGAACTTCAAATACCAAGCAGCAAAGCATTTCTTGTGAGACTGTCAAATCTCATCCCATAGTGATATCTCCATGGGAGGAAGGCTGTCTCCATGTTGCTAACTGCAGGATGTGGATATTTGTTAACCTAGTTATCTTAGCATACTGCCAACCGTGGGCTTACTTAATAGCAAAGGTGATTAAGCTGACAAGCTTCTTACTTCCAACTTGATGCAGTTGCAGCTTTGATACTTTGAGTCAGGGCTCTAAATCATAATCAGTCATCTGAAGAACAAATCAGATATTTTCTCTTCACCAATGAACTCCCATTTCTAGGACAGGCATTGTGGGTGTCTGGAACCTTTGGCTAAACAATGCTCAGATAATCTCAAACAGTGTTTAGAAGAACACCATAACATTTATCCAACCACACCATTGTTTCAGAACTGAAAGGACAAATAAGAGAATAAACTCAGTGCAGTATAAAAACATCTTATAATCCAAATCCTTTGTATTATTTTCTTTAAATGAAAAGAGAGATGAGTTATTCTAATCAGAAGCAACTGACATCCTAGCTCATCTCAATGTTTCTGTTTTGAGGCTAGCTTCATTTACTCATACGTATTCCATTTGTTGCTAATACAAATTACATGGGTTTAATTAATTTTCTAATCTTACTGCCAAACTTCACTTAAAGGGGGGCGGGGGATGGAAAAATCTCACTTTGTATAGTTAATACAAACCATACTTACCAGTGAGTGGACAATGAATTCACAAGTCTTAGTTAGGTCTTTTGCCAGCAGAGAACGTCGCATATCACACCGTAGGGTATACTGGCAAGAACAGGATGGCAGAGAAAAAGAAGAGAGCCTTAGTGAAGATTTCCTCTATCTTTCTTATCTTTTCATCTTTTTATTGTATATGTATGGAATGTTACTGTTATTCATATTTAAGCCATCATTTAAAACAGATTAGTTGGCAATGTGTGTACCAGTGATGGGGAGAGGGGAAAGAGGTAAGAAATACACAATGATTTTAGATGCTCCAAAACGAAAGCTGATTTTTCTTTGTGTTTACAGTCCCATAGTCATTTGCAAGTACTTTCCATATCTTCTGTGTTATGTAACAACCTGTGAGACTGAGGGATGACTTCACTGACAGAGTGTAGTATTCTTGTACGGTTTCAGCACCCAAATCACTTTCAGTCAAGTATGATTATGGTACTGCTTTTCAACACTCTGGATAAGTGATCATCAGTAAGATATATTCACAGCCTCTCTAATTTGTAAATTGGTAAGATTGAATTTAAGAGCAGTAACAATTATATGCATATTTAACGGGCAACTGTCTAACCATATAGCTTGAAAGCAAAAGCGTGCAGCAAAGTAAGGCAACAAGGTTAATTTTGCTGTCCACTGTTCAAAAACTTGCTGCTGGTTTCCTCCCCTTTCTCCCCTAAAAAGCGAGCCATAAACCGGTGACTGAGAAACAGTATGGCCTTGGTTATCACACTAATCATACACTTCCGCATCTATAACATAGCCTTACAACATCCTTACAAGATAGGGGATTTGCTGGGGTGAGGTTTTTTTTTGTTGTTGTTTTGCTTGTTTTGGTTGAGGAATTGGCAAAAACAAGTGCCCTCCAACTACAGACTCAGCTTCGTAACTTCTAGTTCACGGTGTCTCTCTGCACATAACCTGAATATGCACGCAAGAACAACACTGGGGAGCCTGTCTCTCCCCATCACAGACTACGGTGTCCACTGAAGTTGATCACTGTTGAGGAAGCCTTCTATTACTGCACTACGCTTCACTCGGACCAGGGAACACAGTGCCATGAGGCCACAGGACCACACAGGCCTTGCAATTTGGCCCACAGCCTCCCCATCAGTGCCTAATTAGAAGGTCTCTGCATGAGAGCAGAGACTTGAATCTTGGTACTGAACCCCCAGCTAACATACTAATATTTAGATTAAGAAATAAAGGCTTGCTTTTAAACTGCACAGGACTTGGACAGAGGTCTAGGAAGTGTTTCTTAAACAGTACCTTTAGTTACTCTAATGAAAAAATAAATAGGTGGTATACCTCTTGTAGTCTATTTTTCCAATTCTTGATTTGGACAGAGAACAAATATAAACATGTTAGAAGCAAATTAACTATTTCCTTTGATTTATTTAAAACTAGCAAAGTATTTCTAAGCAATTCAAACCTGATTTTCTAGAAAACAGACTTAATGTTCCCCAATTCATATCTATGTATCTGTTTTATCGGGTATCAGTGCACCTTAAATAACCTTGGGAGAGACTACATCTTCCTCTTCCAGGGAGCAGGACTCTCCAAGGTTGGCTGAAATCTAATGATTAACCTTTTAATTACATTTTTTCCCCAGCTTGTAAAGAGAAGCTACGTAGATCAGAGAGGGAAACAAAACAAATATTCACCATTAAAGAGTATCTTAAAACAACTGATATCAATCATAAGCAAGTTATCTGGATTATGCAACTCAACCAGTTTTGCACCATTTCTGACATACCTACCACAAACAACAGACTGAAAAAAAGATATGGGAAATACTTAAAAAAACCCCTCTGAACGTAGATAAAAAACAAGTGCACTTTTCTTTCAGTTACGTGTACTAGGTAGGGGGTTTTATGTGGGTTTTTGGTTTGTTTGTTAGGGTTTTTTTAAATCCCAGACTGTAATATAAGACTTCCAGTTCAGCTAAATAGCTAACAGTGTTATACTTTGTTATCAAACACAATACTCTCATCAGTGAACTACAGGTGGAGAGGGGGGGAGGGAAGCGTTTTACAACCCAGTGATTTTTCATCAGCACTGCTCTGAAATTTTTTGCATTTAGTGGCTCCTTCAACATTTTCCTTGAAGGAAAAACAACCCCACAAATTAAAAAACATTCGTCAGTAAGAAAAAGCATTGTCTAACACAATATTTACATTCAAGAGATGCCTGACGAAAGATTTTCCTTAAAAAAAAAAAAAAAACAAAACCACCCACTCTGTAAAACCCCCCCAAACACATGAACCCACCTATGGCAAGCCAATTTTTAACCAAAAAAGGTCAAATTTCAAAATCGTGTTTCCACAAGATTCTGTTACAAGCAGGTAGTACATACAAATTTGGGCAGGAATCGTTACTACCCATCTCCATAGGAAAGCAAACAACTCATGTTTTTAAGATGCTACAAGCTCTCAACACTTTGGTTTGAGTCATCATTATGAAATTACACAGCTACATTTATTTTCAGCATAAGGACACTGTGGTGCTGTCTTTTTTCATGAATGGATGTAGTTGTCTACAACATAAGGAGGGATCAGATATATGTTACAGTAGTTCTGAAATGGTATTTCAGGCAAGATGTCTTGTTACTGTTCTGTTTATGCCATCATTCTTTAAAGGCTTGCTCCATAGAGAAGGCCTAAAATAATAAGCAATGGAAAGACTTCCTCTAGTCAGAGGATGCTTCTCACAAACAAATGCAGTAAAACAGACTCTGAACACTAGGTAGCTTTGTTCCTGTAGAATTTAGCCCTGTGTCTTAAAATGGATCTGGTAAGTCAGTACACTTAATTTTTAAGTATTATTAGCAGTAATTGGTTGTCTACCATTCTAACAAAGTCTCACTGATAGTAGGTTAACAGTACACACACTTGTATCTGCGCATGTACTACTACACAGATTATCTACAAAATGATAAATGCGACTTCGTTCACAATCAAATCAGAACTAGACGGAAAGATGACCCTGTAAGAAAACTGTACAGGATTTAATAAGTGTGACAAATAAGTTTTAATCTTTCTCAACCCAAAGCCCCTCTTTCCAGTATGCTTTTAATTCTCTCTTGTACACCCCATGTTACACCTGATCGATTTCATTACCACCAACTATTTGAAACTAAAAGCTCAAATTTGCTGGAAAAGAAAACTGAACAGACATCACAGCAATTTTTATAGAAGCAACACTATATTGATGGGATTCTGAGATCTCAGGATGGTTCCTTTGACACATTTAAGAAGCGCTACAACCTGTGGAAAGTGTTGACTCCTAGAAATCGGAACTGGAAAAGACAACTAGAAACCACCTACAAACTAGTACTTAAAAGGTTAACATTTATTATGACTTTAAATCCTGAGTTACATCTAGAAAATACAGTACACACCAGAAGAATGATGTATTAACAAAGGGAAGCTTAAAAGCTACTTACTTCAAACGATCTCTAACTTTCTGCCCGTTCTTCAAATTGACAAAAGAAAACATACTGCACTACAAAAAGAAAACCCTATCACAAAACTCGATCCTCTGCTTCCATGGAGTAAGAGATGCTTTAGAATACATTCTGCACAAAATAAAAGTTCATATTTTGTTTACAGATATGACTGCCTTACCTGAATATTAACGAAGACACCATGATATGTCTCATACAGAACTTTGTTCCCCTTCACATGCAATGGAAATTCAAACGGAATTTCTGTCTTGCCACTGGGAAGTTTCCCTGGTTTTACCATTTCAATAGTGCTGTTAATAATTTGAATAGGCTGCAAAGATAAATAATACAAGGTTTAGGCTGAAGCAGAGTGACAACCCCATCATTTGAAGAACCAATAACATCCACTAAATTTTAACAGACTTCCTGAATTTCCAGGAACTCGGGTGTTTCTTCACGACACACAGCTCTCCAGTTTCACAATGAAAATAAATGTTAAGAATGCTTTCCTCAAGAAAACAATTTGTGATCGATTTTGTGGTTGTATCATACTAATGACCAAGCATATTCACAGAGCTAAACAACAGAGTCTCCAACGCTTTGGAAAGTGGCGTTCCATTTTCTACATTATGACCCTTAACAGTAGCAGCAGGAAACAAAGTTGAGCAGTTCGCTGTTCCCTCCTACCTTCTCCTTGGCCCTTTCCCACCCTAAAGATCTGTATTTAGGGCTAGTCTCTCACTGGAACAATGGTTAACTATGATTCGACTGGGGAAACCTGCCTGAAGATTACATCACTTTTCTCTCTGGAGTTTTACTGTGATCTTCCCTCTACGAGACTGGAATAAGAAAAACTATTGCTTCTACTGTTTGGGGTTTTTTTGGTTTTCAATCATTTATGGGCAGATTATTCATACTGTAAACAAATTAACTATGACACAAATGAAGACCTTAAAAGGCCCTGCACTGAAGCTATCCTAAGCAAACTGTTTCGCAAATGTAGCTGTACTACCTCTAGAGAGAGCCAGCCCTGCTTCACTCAGTACAGCCATGTTCATGTGGAGCCTGAGACAACGTGCCCTGCTAGATGCCAAACCCCACACTTCCAAACGTGGAGAGCAGTACAAAAGCCTTCCAGGAGCTCTGCAGTCAAATAGTCTGTGCACAGCCTTGTACTCCACAGAAGAATCTGTGCTGCTCCCGTATCATGCCTAGAATCACACAACCTCAATGGCCTCTGCAGAAACTATTGTGATAGCGACTGATCTGGCACTAAAGTCCAATCAAACTCAGTCACTTTAAAAAAAAAAAAAAGAAAAAACCTCATAATTTATTATTTTTCTTTAAATCATGGCCCTTTAATGCACCATCCAATAACCATATTATTTATGTTACTTTATTTCAGCGCTAAAGGAAACTCTCCAATCAGTGCAAGTTCCTCCTGAAAAGGTCATCATATATCACTAGATAATGCTGAGCATTTCTCTGCGGTCTATCATTTACATACCATGAAGTGCTGTAACTACCCGAGAGCCACGAAGGAAAGATTTAATCTGAGAAGAGACAAAAGTTTTGTGCTAAAAATATTAACCTGCACAGGTCTTACCTTGACAGAGTTATAGAAAGCTTCGAACACACCCACACTTTTGGCACTGAGCTGCAGATTTACTGATCCTTCCATTGTTAATGAGATACCTTGGTGCTGGACTGTGTCCTTACTTGTTATGACCACGACTCCAGAAAGAACTTCCTAATAGGAGAAAAGACAACATGAAAACATTTCTTTAAATAAATTTCTTCTATAGCTGTTACTCAGACAGCATGCCGATTTTCGAACTCAAGAAAAGTGTTCCCAGAAAAGACAAATACTGATAATGAAAGCAATGTGAGGAAGAGACCTCCATGCTTCTAGCTTGCTTTCTTTAAAAATATTCTCCTCCTCCTTGTAGAAATACTAATCTAAGCTTCAGTTTCTCTCCAAAATGTCAAGATCTTCCTCTCCAGCAAGATGAAAAATATCCTCAGAAACAACCATCAGGTCCGTTGGTAATAGACAAGTTCCATTTCACATGTTAGAATGAAATCCCAGGTGGAATTTTTATATTAAGAGTGGGACAGCCAGCCATGAGAGATGGAAGAGAAAGCATAGCTGTAAAAGCGATGGCCAAGCTGAGGATAAGATTCACCTCAAGAATGGAGTGGGACAGATTTAAAATAAATTAATAAAAAGTTGTTCTGCTACACAGGCAAATTCTATGCTACATGTCAAATAGTTTAAAAGTGTATCTGAACGGAAGGCACAAGTTGCATGACTCAACAGATGCATCACTTATCCCATGAAGAATGTTTTGTCTACAAAACTGTATTTGCGCAAGAACACTGCATCTTGGAAGTATCAACTTAGAAGGTCCAACACTAAAAAACAGGATTAACTGCAGGAAAGCAACAGTTCAGTTCATTTTACATACCCCATAGTTCATCCTTCCCCTCTCCTACAACAGAGAATTCACTCCAATCCAGCGTTCCATGCCAAATATTCACACACGGCTGGAAATAGCAGCAAGTGATTTGAGAACCTGAAGAAAGTTTCTGTGGGCTAACCTCCCCCTCTGCTCAACAGTAACGCTCTCTGCACCTTCACCAGGCTGGCAAACTTGACACCAAACTACAGGTCACTCCAATCAAAGGATAGTTCAGACTGCCCACTCTACGCTCGACCAGTTAAAACCAGTCTAGTTATGTACATCTGACAGACGCTATTCGAATTTTGCCAGCCTTTTGTCTTTACTAGTGGTACAGGATGACAATATAGAAAATGGGTCAGGCGGTTTAACGCAGATCAGGACAGCAGTAGAACATCAAGCATCACAACGAAGGCTGACATGCTGCAAGTCTGAAAAGAGGACCTGCAGCAACTGGGAAATGCCAGGAACAGGAGGCACAAACACAAAAGGACAGTAAAGAAAAGCTGACCTAAATACTGTAATGCTTTGCTAACAGGCTTTAATTAGTATAAGCAATTAGGTTATTGCTTTAATAAATGAGTACAGCTGAACTATAAGAAGCAAGGACAATCGTGAACATATGAACTGCTTTAATAAATGGGAACAGTCTCCCACCACACTGCAACAACCTATTCCAGAGCTACTGCCTGCATACTTTCACATGATACAGGTGTATCTGTTTGGGGCAAGAAAGGAGAAGAATGACTTGAAGTAGGATTTTTTTCTTATAACATTCCTCGTCTCTTAAGAAATGAAAAAAACACATCAAAACCACTTTCTAACAAAAACTTAAAAAGGTCACTAGTGTGGGAGATAGGGAAGTGTCATGAAAAAGATGCTGTGATATTTACTTCTACTGTTTATATGCAATCAGGTTATATTTCTGTTTGATGGGGGGAAGGGGAGTCAGCTATGTCTTTTCTGGAGAAGAGCTACTTTGTCCTTTTTTGTGTAAACCCAGGGTCCCCTCTAAGTACAAAGCAATCAGCATACTTGTCCTTCTAAAAAGTACAAATCAAAGAACATAAGCTTACCACGATGTTCAAATACTTAGCACAAAATTTATGAGAAAACTTTATTTTTGCAAAAGATCTGTGAACAAGTACCATTTGTAAAAGTTACATGTCATCACTTCATACTAAACTAGTACTGGTTTTAGTCCATATCATTTACCTTTAACACCACAAAACTAAGGGTGTAGAGAAAGTCACCACTGGAACTAGTCACCGCTTACTACAATGTAGCAACTTACAGTCAGTTGCTCTCACTTCCTTTTTACCTTCTCCCTTGCTACGGACTCCCTATGGCTTCACCACATGATGACAAAACTTTGCAAGATGGAACTAAGCTAACACAGTTCTACACAGAATTATTCATCCAAACAGCGTATCCATTTGCAAGAAGGCCACTGTATTATGTGAAGCAGACAGAGAAGCGAGCTACGTATGCTAAACTGCAAGCAAAACATTCTTGTGAGAAGACTGTCCCAGGTTAACGATCTCAAAACAAGCTTTTTAGCTTTCTTTTTGTCAGTCCTTTGCCATTCAGATATGCACATGAAACTGCCAGGGAGACTGACACTTTCAAAGCTTCAGTCACTTTCAAAGTCACAACCAAGATGAACACCTGCTTCATCTGATCCAGCAGCACAATCCCTCACTTCTCTAGTTGTGGAACAGAGTTATCCACGTCTGGCTGAGGATAATATGAAACAATCTTCAAGTAAGAACATGAAGCGGTGCATAACACAGATCACAGAATCTCATCTCGTGAGTCCTAAGCCACATCTAGACTTCTGACTGAACTAGACAGCTACTCAGTATCTACAAACTTTAGTGAAGACTTCAAGGATCAAAGTACACATTACACTGTCACATAAATTGTTGCAGAAGTTATGTTAAAATATATACTAATTCCAACCTGACTGTTCACACTGTCAGGTCTGTTTGCTACATTAAGGAGCTAGAAAAATAATTTTAGCTAGATATTATGTATTTTCAGATTCCAATTCAAAGTAATTTTGAAAAACAAACAAACCAACCACAAGGCACGTTTTCAAGACCACCTGAAATCTGTCATCACACTTCTTGAGGTGTTGACAACAGCAGAAGACACCATACCTAATGCCACACAGAAACGCCTAACATTTCTCTAGCTCCATTTGATATCCGCCATACATCTACAGATTAAGCTTTTCATTATTTTGGTAGAATGGAAGTCCACAGTCAGCTGGTTACCAACAAGATGTCCTCAGTTTCTTTTAGATTCCACTTTCCACATCACAGGCATTCACCCTTGGACAAAGGGCCAACATTTAGCAATTAAAAAATTCACACTAAGTTCATGCAAGTCACATTTACTAAATATTCCTTATCATTTTCTTCCACATCTATTCCTCTACGCAAGTCACCTGCAAATCTACACATTCTTCTGATTATTTAAAAAGAAACTGACTGCATTCAATAGGAAAAGTCTGCTAGACCAAACTAACTAGTCATTAGACACTTTAAAACCTCAATGCTCAGATTTAGTAATTAGTTTGCTCTTTTAGAAAAAGTAACAAGTTTCCTTATGGGCAAATTCTGACTTAGGTATATTTTGGACTCACTCACTGGAAGTCTTGACTGACGTTAACTATGGCACCTTTCTTTGATAATTAAAAGAATTTTAGGCTGAAAGGCCTGAAAAATGCATTGTACAATCTCAGACTGCCACAGTCACTCCAGTCATCCTGTTTCGGTTTTCTAAATAAAACACATCATTAGTTGTGCTTGTCCCTTCATTCTTCTAGCATTCCAGAGTTTATTAAGTGAGCCTCAATGGCTCAAGAATTCTCTATCCAATTAAAAAAAAAAAAAAGTCTCCTGAACACAGATCTTCTGTTCCTAGGAACTTAAACACAGTTTTGCTGCAATAAGCCTTATTTTGCTATACAGAACTACATTATTAAGATCCATGTTATTGTCTTTTTCTTCTTAAATACCTTATAGCTTTTTTTTTAACAATGCTATTATTCTTTTGGTCCAAGAAGTAGCAAACTTGTTTTTTACTCACGATTTAAAGTCATTTGTTTAAGCCAGCTTTTCTCAAATTGAAGCCTGGACAAAGTAAAGGTCTTTGTCTGCTTAGTTCCTCCAGTTTCTGATGATTATAACTAATGAATACTGAAATCACTGTTTATCACAGCAAGTTACTTTAACCAACTTCCTTTCTAAAAGCAGGAGCACAATCTCAGGCTTGCATAATGCATGACTATTTTACAAATTTTGTGTCTAATTTCTCCCAATCAAAAAGAACCATCAACACAGAAGCAAAGAACAACTAAAAAGAATAAAACTGTCGCCTACTCAACTACCTAGAACTACAGAAGGTTTTAGGAAGAAGTGACTTCCACTTGGTGCAGGAGATTGCTTTGGAACAATGAAAAATGTTTTAATTCAGCTGGATTTAGTATAACCAGGGTCACCGTACCAGGATGCTAAGTAATCTGACCCAACCCAAGACAATAGGGAACGGTATTTGAAGGTTCTGTTGTATAGTATTTCAGCACCAGAGAGAAATTGCAAAGATCTTGGCCTGATGGGGAAAGCCTATAATGAAACATATGCATCACTCTGACCTTACAAAAAGCAAAAAAGCAGGAGCTATTCAGCCTTAATTTTCCTGGTCAGCTGTTTGCTTTAGACGCACCCTGACCTTCTCCACTTGCCAGCCTTCTCATATGTACTTTCAACAACATTTTCCCCTAACAAGACTCAACTTCAGTTCTGCAATAAAATTAAAGATGTTTGTTAACTTTCAGAGTTCTTCCCTAGAAGTTTATATTAAAAACTCCCGCACCTTCAGGGCCTTATTCAGTGTGGAATTTACCATTAACAGATCGTCAGAACAGTTACTTGTTAAATACGGGTCTCTCCTATATCTGTCTCCCTTCACTCCTTTCCTCTTGGAGGGAATAAAGATGTATAGCAAGTACACTCAACAGATCTAAAGATGCTGGTTAACGTACATGCAACAGATTGAGAGAAGCCGATTGCTAAAAATCTCTGAAAATTTCACCTGGATTATGCAGCCTTAAGAGGTACAAAACCAGATCTTGAATGGAAGAATCAGCAGGCATTGCCCTTATCAGTTCTTTGGTCTAATACCACCTAAAAATCACAGGCTGAGATCCTCTAGACTGTTCTCCATCCACCCCACTTTATTTGTCTGTTTTCCTGCGGTTGGTGCTGCTCCACAACATCTAATCTATCTTCTGTAGGCCCTCCAACACAAGACCATTTTGATACTGATTAACTATTCTCTGTTCTACTCTATTTGAGAAGACATTCATAAGAAAAACAAAAAAGGATGTCCACAATTCAACAGACTGATTTTTTAAATTATTATTATTTACTTATTTGAGTGCCACACCCACCAAATACTAACCATTTCTCCAATCCGGCTTACTGCACAGCCAATACTGCCAGGACAAGAAAGGCAGCAGAAATTGAACGGCTAGGGAGGCGAGTGGCATTGTGGAGTTATGCTGGATTAATCACAGACTCGGGCAAATTATGACTTAGAAAGCTCAGTTTTAGCAATTTTTTTTGCTATTATAAAGTAATAGGCATAACAAAAAGACTATTATACCAGTGCATAATTCAGACATCACCTTCTTCCATATCCAAATACAGCTTTAAACAAGTTCAGCAAAATAAAGATCGAGTCCAGCCACAGTTTCCCTACTGCCTTCAAATGAGTAGCTAGACATACACATTGGGATGAACTGCTGTCTTCACTGAAGGAATCCCTTCATTTTCAAGCAGCGTGATGCAAGCATATTTTGGGATGAAAGTTGCCATGGACCGAAGGCATTATTAGCACAGCTACTGTCACTGAAGCATACGACAATGTAATAAACTCCTAAAAAAAGCCCTCCAACCCCGCATACATTCCATGCTTAATTAAAGAGAGATTTGTAATTCCCCTCTGTGCCTAGGAAATTTCTATTAAAAATTCATATTATACTTGTACTGCTCTTTCATAGTTGTGTTTTCACACCACTCAGACCTCCAAATTTCAGGCCTAGTTAATGACCTAAAATTACAAACCCTTTCTGAAGGAGTTAAAGTGGAAGAAAACAAAACAATACTGACAGATTTACTAACCACAAATATCTTAGTTAATTTCAGCTTAAAGACAGAAGAAATATCTCTTTCCTGTATTAAAAAAAAAAAAATACAGTTCAGAGTGATATAAAGCAAGCCAAGTGAGGAAACTGAGAAAGGGGACAGCATTACGATACTGAAATAGCTCAGATCCTTCTAATAACGTGTATTAGCCAAACAATGTGAAAGTGAGATACAGAAAGCAGTCTTTACCGCTATGACACCACACCTAAAGGGGTGTGTTGTTCACAAAATGGTAATTTAGCTTTATGAAAGTCATCCTCTAGATTTGATTGATGATTTGGCAACTGCAGAACAGATGCTGCGCACTCTTCCATTCAAACTGGTTTAAAGCAGTTTTCCAGCATTCAAAATATTCAATAAATTGAACCATCCTTTATACACTGTAACAGCCAAACTACTCAGGTATGGGAAAACTGTGTGTCATAAGGATTTTTATAATACAAGCATGTGACTGGATAGCAAGAAAAAAAAGGCCCTGAAAACTTCTGCTTAAACAATGACATATTTCTAGAAAAACAGTGATAGGAATAAATCTCGAAAACATGTGCCAGGTGATTTTTATTTTTATTTTTTTCTAACTGCGCTTGAAGTCTTCAACAACGAAACCAGGCACAGCATTCTTCCAAGCAGCTGAAAAAGCCGAAGTACAGGCAATTGCTTTCTCGCCACCAACAACCACATCGGGGAATAAAAAAAAATCCGACTCCTGCCCAGTAAAGAAAAAATAAAATCAGATCTGCTCCTGCCTAAGTACTCCATCCAAGAGGAGATTTCCCGCCAGGTACACGGAACAGCCCAGGCCAGTTTCGGATTTCTGGCAGGGCAGAGGCACGGACCGCGGCTCGGCGGCAGCGCCCGCCCGCTGCACC